CCTGGAGTCCCGGGATCGAGTCCCGCATCGGGCTCCCTGCTCAGCGAGGAGCCTGCTTCTCCCTCTGACCCTCTTCCCTCTCATGTGCTCTCTCTCTCTCATTCTCGTTCTCTCAAATAAATAAATAAATCTTTAAAAAAAAAATAGAAATTGTGCCTACATTTGGATCTTTGACCTGAACCTGCATGTATGAACAAGATTTTGGATCTTACCAGTGAGTTTTAGCAATGAAATTGACTTTGGTCCTGGACCTCAGACATAGATGTAGTTCTTAGACTTACGCTTCAGTCCTGGATTTGGATCTCAAATGTGAAATCAGATCTTAAAGCTGAACCTCATTTCTGGACCCTAACCCTATAATTCAGAATGGATTATACATGACCTTGGAACTAGAACTTGGATTTGGATCTTGGAGCAACCTGGTACTAGATAGTCAACCTGGACTTTAGACATGGATTTAATCTGGATCTTAGACTCATCTTAGACCTGGGAAGTGGACCTAGAATTACACCTTGGACCTGGTCCTTGAACCTCAGGTTTGGATCTGATTTTGGGTCTTTTTTTTTTTTTTTAAAGATTTTATTTATTTTATTTGAGAGAGAGAATGAGAGAGAGAGAGCACATGAGAGGGGGGAGGGTCAGAGGGAGAAGCAGACTCCCTGCTGAGCAGGGAGCCCGATGAGGGACTCGATCCTGGAACTCCAGGATCATGACCTGAGCTGAAGGCAGTTGCTTAACCAACTGAGCCACCCAGGCGCCCCTGATTTTGGGTCTTGACCTAAACCTGAATTTTGGAATTGGTTGAGTGTACCTCAACTTTGAACATTGGGCCTTGAATCTAGACTGTGAACCTGGACCTAGATTTGAAATTAAACACTAACATTGGACCTGAGACTCAAATATGAACATAGGTGTTGGACCTAGACCATGGACCTAGACTTGGATCTAGATCTTAGATATAATCTTTGGAACTGAACACTGACCTGCTCCTGAACCTTGTAGATTTTGGGTGTGGAATTGGCCTGTAAGTTAGTCCTGATATTAAACCTGGTCCTTGGACATGGACTTGGACTTTGATATTAGAACTGTATTTTGGACCTCAGACTTGACACTGAACATTTTAAACTCGGATCTGCCCTTTGGACCTGAATGTAGGGTGTGAATCTGCATTTGATCTTGGATACTTATGTTGGACCTGGGCTTTGGAAATGGACATGGATCTTGGACCTGGACCTTGACCTGTTATGTTGTAGACTTAATGACCTTGTTCTCAAACTCTGGACCTGGACCTTGAACCTGGAACCTCAGCCTTGGGCCTCAATCTTAGACTTGACCTTTAGATCTCAAACTGGTCCTTGGACATAGACTTGGACCTTGGACTTAAACATCAAATCAACTGTGGAACTCTGTTTGTCTGTGATGTTGGACCTGTCCTCAGACTTGGTTTTTTGGAACTTACTTGAACTTCAACCTCTAACCTGAGACTTTGACATCATGTCAAGTCCTCAGACCTACACCAGGACATGACCTTGGACCTGGAATGTTGATCTGAACCAGAATCCTAGACCTAGACTGGGGGACCTGGGTCTTAGACTGGAACCTTACTTTGGAACTCAACTTGTCCTGGACATTGAACTCAGACATGGGATCGACTTGGATATTGGAGCTTACCTTTGACTTTGACTTAGATGTCTAACTTTGGTCACAGAACTTGGAATTAGGGCACTTGTTTCGGTCTCTCTTGTGGGTGTTAACCCACCACCTTAGTATTTTTCCATGGGTGATGGTAGCCTCAGACCTGGCTAGGAAATAGAGTGCTTCCCCTGGCTGCTTACTGATAGCTGGCACTCCTGATCAATTCTCCTTTGTCAGTTTGCCTGGTGTTTTGAGCTGGACTTTCTACTTCGTCCGTTTAGTCATGGGAAAGAATAGGCCAGATGGGCTGTCATCTGTTTCCAGGTTAGGGTTTGGGAAATTCCTAGTCTGGATCACCTTGTTCTGTTGTGTAGGGAGACCTAAGATGCCCTGCTGCTGTGTTGTTCCTCTAGTTTGGAAGTCTCCTTTGGAGAACCTTTCAGAGTTCTCCTTGATTGTTTCTTTCATTATTTTAAGGTTTATAGGTGTACTCAGCAGGGAAGAGCAGAGATAAATGGGTCTATATCATTTTGTCTAGACTGAAAGTCACTGGTCATTGCTGTTCTAGGTTACTCTGTTGAGAGTTTTGCTATAAAGGTGAGCAGAGATATGGGACAGTGGCATGAAGGAGATGTGATGTTAAGAAAGGTTTGCTTTTATTTATTTTTATTTTTTAAAATATTAAGTAGGCTCCATGCCTAACGTGGGGCTTGAGCTCATGACCCTGAGATTACGAGTTGCATGCTGTACAGACTGAGCCAGCTGGGAGCCCTTATTTATTTATTTATTTATTTATTTTATTTATTTTTTTTAAGATTTTATTTATTTGAGAGAGAGAGAATGAGAGACAGAGAGCACAAGAGGGAAGAGGGTCAGAGGGAGAAGCAGACTCCCTGCTGAGCAGGGAGCCCGACGCGGCATGACCTGAGCCGAAGGCAGTCGCTTAACCAACTGAGCCACCCAGGCGCCCGCCCTTATTTATTTTTTAATGAGAGAAACTACAGCATGTTTGTACGATCTATCTCCTGATGATGCAGGAAGCATAGGAAATAATTACTGGAGCAATGCCTTGAATAGGTAGCAGACAATAAGCTTTCCTGCACAAAATGGGGAAGGCTTTAAATAGGAGGTTGGAAGGTTTGTCCATTGTTCATCCAAACAGGAGGGAAGCAGAGTACATGAGCACAAAGGCAGGTGGGTGCTCAGTAAGGTCTTGGAAGTCTAAGGAGTTTCTTTACTGGCTGTTTCTGTTACCTTCCTGAAAGAGGAAGCAGGGTCAACAGCTGGACAGTGAGGAAGAAGGAAGAGGTTGTTGGAGGTTCGGAGAGAGAATATATGAAAGTTACCTAGGAGAGTAGATGAGCAGATGGTCTAGGTTTAGAAGATGTGAGAGAGCAATATAGAAAACTATGATTTAAAAGTAGGATTTAAAGACTTTAGAGATGGAGGGATCCTAAGTGATGTCAAAGACCAGGATATGGATGGCCTAGTGCTATTTACAAAGTAATGATACCTATGTCTGGCAGTGTACTGGGCAATAGTGATAAAGGCATGAGGAAACCACTCTCCTCTGGAGTGGTCAGTGTGCAAGCCACACTGGAGTGGGCTGCTGGGAAAATGGGGATGAGCCTGTTAGAGCAGACAACCGGTGTAGGTTTGTTTGTACACAGATGAAGAAACAGAGGTAGCTGAAGGGGAAAGTGGGGCTAAAAAGATTTTGAAAGATGGGAGACACCAAAACATGTTTGAATTCAAAGGGAAGGGACTCAGCAGGGAAAGGTGAAAGTGCAGTAGAGACCAGAAAACCAAAACAGCAAGGCGGGATTCAGAGCACATGGAAGGATTGGCTTAATGGGAAGCAGGACCCTTCCTATGTTGTAATAGGAAGAGAAGAGGGAAGCATATGCAGATACATTTATAGATTCAGATGTGAGAAGCTTCTCTGACTCCCAGACATCTCACTCTAATCCCAGGGTACCAGGACATTGTAAATGCTTTGGCCCATTATCTTCCATGCAAGGTAACCCCTCTATTGGCACAGAGGTGCTGCTCCTGCCAAGGTCACAGTAACCTCCATGCTGCCACATTTAGAGGGTATTTTAAAGGCTTCATCATTTTGGACTTTTCAACAATATTCAACATTGCTTCATTCTCCAGAAACACTCTCTTCTCTTGACTTTCCTGATGCACACATCCTTGGTTTTTTTCTTTCCTTCTTGGGCTATTTCTTCATCTCCTTTGTTAGCTTGTACAAATATTTTTCAAAATTCTATATAAATTCAAGGTTCCTCACTACTCCCTGTATGGTAGATTATCGTAGTAATGGTCCCCCAATGATTCACACCTGCCAGTATCCATGCCCTTACGAAATCTCTTCCCACATGGACTCTGGGCTTGGCCACATGACTTGCCTTGGCCAATGGGATATTAGCAAACATGATATAAGCAGAAGCTTAATAAGCTTGTGAATGGGGGGCCTGCCCTCTTGGAACTCTGAAACAATCATGCTATGAAGCAGCTAAGGATAGAAAACCACATTTGACACACCTGCTGAATGCAGCCACATGAGTGAGTCCAAGTGAGACCAGCAGAATCACCCAGCCAATTCAGAGACACATAAAAATTAATCATTGTTTTAAACCACTAGATTTTGAGGTGATTTGTAATGCAGCAATAGGTAACTGTCATCCTCATCTACAACAGAGACATGGCTAACTTTAGTGGCTTTATGCAAATCAGAAAAAAAGTGAGTCATAAAAACATGCCTCTACTGGGCAGACACACCTTTGTTCAAATAAAAAGCGTTCCTCTAGGATGCAGCCTTATGCCAGGTGCACAGCATGGATTTGGACCCACACTCAGCTCTGTCACTGGGTGCCTTTATGCACTAGACAAGCTTGCACACTGTGTGTGAACCTTCTCGGAGATTTCTACACAATTCTCTCCATTTAGCATAGACCAGAAACTTGGCTTCAGGACAGTTGTTTTTTTAATTAATTTAATTTATTTTATTTTATTTTAATTTATTTATTTGACAGAGAGACACAGCGAGAGAGGGAACACAAGCAGGGGGAGTGGGAGAGGGAGAAGCAGGCTTCCTGCCAAGCAGGGAGCCCGATGCGGGGCTCAATCCCAGGACTCTGAGATCCTGACCTGAGCCGAAGGCAGACGCTTAACCGGCTGAGCCACCCAGGCGCTCCTTTTAATTTATTTTAGAGAAAGAGAGAGAGAGCAGGGGGAGGGGCAAAGCGAGAAAGAGAGAATCTCAAGCAGACTCTGCACTGAGCATGGAGCTTGATGTGGGGCTCGAGCCCACGACCTAATCATGACCTGAGCCGAAATCAAGAGTCGGATGCTTAACCGACTGAGCCACCCAGGCACCCCTGTGACAGGTTTAATTACTTCACTTAAGGAGAGAGAGAAAGCACCTCGAGTAGTGCTCCTAGCCTTGAGGATTTAGTAGAACGCTGACTTTTATTGAGGAAGACAGGCCACATGGTGCTTATTAAAGAGTCACTGCATTTTTCAGGCAAGTCAGTTAGGCAAATTCCTTGAAAAAGATGAATAGTTTTCAGAGAAAAGAGGAACCATTATCCCTCTGAATCACCCATGAACATTCTGGAAAAGAGGTAGATAGAGAACTAGATTCTAGAGCAGGTGGCAGTGAGGAGCTAGATCCTCAGGTGGGTGTGGTGCCCAGCAGGGATGGCGCCATGATCCCCAGGCCTCCCTGGTCCCAGGAGGTCTCTGAGAAAAGGCTGGGCAATGCCACCGGTCTTCACAGACCACCAGGCTTGCATCAGGCTGGTTCTGGGCCTCCTGGTCCGGCTGCACAGTGGATGCCTCCCTCTGGACTGTAGCGCACAGGGCCACAGCGCAACTGGGGCTCCTCTTCCTCATACCAGCGCTGTTCACTGAAGTCAGGGAAGAAGGCTGCAATCTCTCTACTGGCTGAAACCACAGAGTCTGTAAGGGGAGGTAAGAAAGAGAAGGGGTTCTCATAGGGAGTGCAGGATGGAGGCAAGGGGCAGTTATAATCAGATTTAGAAACCTGAGCCTCTACTTCTGCCTGACCCTCAGTCCTGGGGCCACATCTGCTGAGATGGCCACAAAGGCCCAGAAATGCAATTGGGAGGAAGGTTCACGGCAGGGTTACCTGGCTCTCAACTCCAAGATATGGCCTAACCACCAACCACAAACTATCCTCCCTTATTTGTGGCTGAGGACAGGGGAGGCAGACTCACCAGAGCCATGGGTTGTGTTGCGGGTGTCAGTGAGGCCGAAACTTCCACGAATTGAATCTGGGGCCACATGACGTGCTCGAAACACTCTGGTGGGTCCCATCAGTGTCCTCCAGAGCTGGATGGCATCCTTGTGGGCGAGGATGTAGGCTCGGATTGGCCCGCTGTGTACCAAAGGAACACATGTGAGGAACCTGGCTGTGTGGTCGAGGAGGGCACATTGTAAGCAGGGCACGAATAAAAGCACACTACATCCTGAGAGCTACCCTGCTAAATACCAATGCTGCTTCAAGTTGCAGGTGATGGAAGGCCACTACGTGTGTACAGAAAAGGCCACGGAGGTCAGCAGAGTTGCTAAGTAGCATTCAACGATACTCTTCTATAGCCACTGGACCAATAACCATCATGGGACAGGTGCTACCAGGTCAGTGTTGGCTTAGTCATGGTCCCAAGCCAGGTTTCTTCAGACACTTAACACTGATTACAACTCTACAGTGTCAAATGAAATCAACAAATTTAGGGAGCAGGGGAAGGTAAATCTTGGTGGATAAAGATGCCGAAATGAAAATTATAAGTACCTGGCCATGAACTCCACCAGCCGCTGATAGAAAAAACGCCCTGCAAAGAGAGAGTAACCATCAAGACATGGTGCCCAAGAGAATTTTTTGTACTTCTGCCTCCTTACTTGGAATAATAAAAACTGTTTTATTTAATTTTATTTTTTAAAAGATTTATTCATTCACTTTCGAGAGAGTATGCAAGCGGGAGGGACAGAGGGAGCTTCATGCTAAACGTGGAGCCCGACGTGGGGATTGATCCGAAAACCCTGAAGTCATGACCTGAGCTCAACCAACTGCACCACCCAGCACCCCAATAAAAACTGTTTTAGAGAAGGACCTTGGAATCTGACATATCTGGGTCTGAATCCAGGCTCTGCCACTTACAACCTGTGCAGTTTCGGGTAGGTCATTAACTTCCCTAACTCAGGTTCCTAATCTGTGTACTGGAGATCTAACAATACCTATGTCATAGGGCACTAGAGAAAATTCAATGAAACCATGAGCATTAGGACAATGTTTGAAAGAGTAAACACTCACTAATAACTACTGATATCATCAGGACATAAAACTAAATTTCTGGTCGGGACTACGAAGTGGAACCCTCCTAGAAAATATATGTATTAATAGATTTAAGTAATTAATCTGAATGAGAGAGAGAAAGAGAGAGCACAAGCGGGGGGAGAGCAGTGGGAGAGGGACAAGCAGACTCTGAACTGAGCCAGGAGCTGGCGCAGGACCCTGAGATCATGATCTGAACCGAAATCAACAGTCAGACACTCAACTGACTGAGCTACCCAGGCGTCCCCTAGAAAATATTTTTAAAAGATTGATAATCATGAAAAGTTTGTGTATAAAGCAAAGCTTTAGAAGAATGTCTGCAATTTGACAGTTGGTAGGTCAGAGACAGCCTGCCATTGTGCACCCAGCTAAAATCTCTCTTGCACATGTCTTGGGATAGAGAAGCCTCCCATTCAGAGGACTGTTGATCCTACCTTCATGCTCTTGGTAAAACTTCTGGCATTCTTCTTTTCTCCACAGAAGTTCTCTCATTCGTACAATAAGGAACTTGTTGCTCAGAATCTGCTGATGAACAGCCTGGATAACGTCAGAGATAAAAATCGGTCAAAGGGACCATATGTGTGAATAGGAGACCCAGGAGAACCAAAAGAACCATGAGGACCCATCAGAGCCCAGGACTTGAGGGCCTGTCCCATTGTTGGGTCAGAAGAGCAGGAAGGTGGCGTGAGGTAAAGACCTTTCATCACGCGGCCAGAGCATGAGCCTCGGGTGCCATCTCTGCCCTTCCGTTCCTCCAGCCCCTTGAGCTGAAGCCCACATGACCCAGCCTCAGACCATCGAAAAATCTCTTGATAGTGGTCCTGCCTTGAGTTTGTCCCACTCTCTCCAAACCGTCACACTTGACAGATTAAAAACATAGTAACTTACACGTCACACTCTGGTCAGAACCTTATTCATGGAATGAGGTACAACTATTTTAGCCCAGTGCTCAAGGCTGTACTTTCCTTGACCTCCACCTCTTCCAATTCTCTAGTCCCATCACCCCAGCCTGCCTGTGGCCCCCAGATCCACCACACACATTCCTGCCTCAGTATCTCCCTTTGTAGAACTTCTGCCCTCCTGTGCACTAACCGAAGTCCACCCTGCCTTCGAGCCTGGCCAGATCCCAACATTTGCGGGCCACCATTCCTGAATGCTCTGGTCTTCCTCTGCACCACGGCGAGCTGACCTAGCAGAGCTGCTCAGTTAGTATTTATCGACCCTCCCCCAGTTCCAACAAGATTCTGCACCCTTCTCTCCAGGACTGTGAATAGGAAGCAATATGATTGTTACATTACATGGCAAAAGGGATTCTGCAGGTGTAATTAAGGTTGCTATCAGTGGACTTTGCTTTATTTTTTAAGGTTTATTTATTTATTTTAGAGAGTGAGAGCATGTGTGGGGAGGGGCAGAGGGAGAGGGAGAGGGGGAGAGGGAGAGAGAAAGAGAGAGAGAGAGACAGAGAGAGAGAGAGAAAATCTCAAAAAAACTTCCTGCTGAGCGTGGAGCCCAACACACAGCTTGATCCCATGACCCTGAGATCACGACCTAAGCTGAAATCAAGAGTCAGACGCTCAACTGACTGAGCCAGCCAGGTGCCCCATCAGTTGACTTTGCTTTAATCAAAAGGGAGATTATCCAGAGGAGCCCAATTAATCACATGAGCTCTTTAAAAGCAGAGTTTTATCTGGCCAGGGGCTAAAGGAGAAGTCAGGTTTAAAGCATGAGAAGCACTAAACACACTGTTGCTATCTTGAAGATGGAGTGAGCCATGTGGTGAGGAACGTGAGTGGTCTCTAAAAACTGACAGCAGTCCTCGCCTGAAGGCCAGCAAGGACCTCAGTCTTATAACCATAGGAACCAAATTCTGCCAACAACCTGAATGAGTTTGGAAGTGGATTCTTTCCCCAGACCCTCCAACTAAGGACCTGGTCAGCTGATACCTTGACTTTGGCCTTGTGAGACCCTGAGGAAAAACCTACCTGAGCCTACTGGACCTCTAAATTCTAGAATTGTGAAATCATAAACGTTGTTTTAAGCTGCTAAGTTTGTGGTAATTTTTTGCACAGCAATAGAAAACTAATACACATACACTGTCTTGAGGTTTGGTTCTTCTTATTGTATCGGATCCTTATATTTTTAATCTGCCCCAATTCTCCAGTAGAGTTTTAGGCTTTTTAGGGTCAGAGCCCATAGCTCCTAGCTTTGCCTCCACAGCATCTTGCACAGGACTGTGCTGTCAGTCTTCACAAGTGGCCCTGTGGCACCAGAAAGAGAAGCAGTGCCCAGGGCATATGGTAAGAGGCTTAGGATTCCTTCTTACCTCCAGAATCAGGGGGTGAGCAACAGCATCAGGCTTGATCAGGGCCAGAGTAAGCTGGAGAGCCTGAGGGCTCCGCAAGATTGAGGTCATCTTACTCCTGCCATCAGAAAGCTGGATTAGGGACCTATCAGTGCTGTGCTCCCCACCCTCCCTACTCCAGAGCCATGCAGCCTTGCAAACCCACAGCGATCTCACTCCCAAAGCCTGTGGCAGTTACATACAAAGGAGTTACCTATTCAGGAGAAATTCAAGTTTAAACACTACCCATCTCCGCCAATATTCCCTTCACTTCCTAACTTTTCTTTGTGTTTTAGAGGATTTATAATTTACATTGCTAAACATCCTGGCCACAAAGGTACAATAACTGTTTCCTTTCCTAAGGCCTTCTATCCCATAGTGTGCTCTCATCAGTTCAAGAATTGGGATGTTGCCAGGATACCCCAAAGAAGTCTGCTGCATACGTACCATCTCTTGTCTAACCTTACAGATAGGTCAGGATCTCCCAAATCAAATCCTTCGGCTATCCTCAATGGCAAGGCTTGTGGACATGTAACTCCAAGGTCAAGGACCAGTTGTAACCATTTTGGCAGCTGAAACAGTGCCTAGGACAAAGGTCAATTTAATTGACTAACTGAACCTATACAGCCTTATCCTGTCCATCTTTCTATTTCTAGTGTCTAGCATGGTGTAAGAGCTCAATAAATAATTGTGGAAATGATATAAGGAACATAAAGGTATTTTTTAAACCGGACTAAGAGAATTTGAGGTCTCTCCCAACCGTGAAATTCTATTCAGATTTAAGAAATTGATCATCTGATCAGGACTAAGAACTAGGTCTCAAAAGATTACCTGGTGGAGCTCCTAAATTTGCCAACAAATATGGAGAAGGCTTCCATGAACACACACAGGGACAGTTTGGACAACACTCTCCTTTCTCTTAGGCTGAAAGTATCCTGACAATCATGTTAAAGGCAGTGCTAGGGTCTCCCCTACTCATGTCCTTTCTACAGTTTTCAGCTGGATGCTCCACTCAAACCACAAAACTAAGTCTAGTCTAACTAGTGCAAGATCAGCCAACCCACTCCCTAATATCCCAGTTGTGAGTAACCCAAAAGCAAATGGAATCTTCAACGTAATCTAGGGAGAGATATCCTTGACACTTCCCTTCCCTCACTCTCCACATCCATGTTAATCACCAAGTTCTGGCCATTTTACCTAAGCAATATATCTCAAATCCATACAATCCTCTCCTTCTCCAGGACCACCACCCAAGCCCAAGATTCATTATCAACCTTCCCTGGACTTCTGCAACAGCCTCCTCAATGGCCTCTCAATTTCTACTCCTGCCAGCCTCTACAATCTGTTCACACAACAGCCAGTGAACTAAAAATGGAAATCTAATCATATCATTTCCCTCCTTAACCCTTTGCGAGAGATGTTTCCACAGTCCACAATGTGCTTCCTCTGGTTACCTCCTATTCACCTACTAGATCTTACCTCACTTCCCCTATTATATAGCTTTTTGGACATTTTCTTCAGTTACATCTTCACCTGTTTGGTCAACTCTATTAAAGCAGGGGTCTGTTTTGCTCATCATCTTATTCCCAGTACCTAAGCAGAATGAATGTTGTTGAATGAACGAATGAATGAATGAATGAATGAATGAACCTCATCCAGCTATTGCAAGGCGAAGCTGCCAGAGGCTCTCCAGGGAAGGATGTGGTTCCTTTCCTAATGCCAGCTAAGTAATGACTGTCTTGGCCCTTGGTTTAAAACAAATGCTGACAGGTTAAGAAACTCGCTCAATTTTAAAGTTACTCCATCAGAGAACCACAAATTTCATAAGTCGCCTGGGTATTCGCCTTCACACCTGAGGTGCCCATTCCTCTGCTTCCGGGAGGACGGTGACCAAGGCCCCCCCCTCGCCAGGCTCCGCGGGGACCTGGAACCCCCAACTCTGTCTCGGCTCCCCATCCCCTACCCTCCACCCCGACACCTGAGGCCCAGCTCCCCAACCCCCCAGGCTCTCAGCCCCATTTCTTGACACCAACCCCTCTCCTCGCTGCCCCTCATTTCTCCGGGCCTGCAGCCGCGCGACTCCTGGCCCTCGTACCAGGACCTAAGCGCACCCCAGATTCAGGGCTGTTCGGGCCCCAGCCCAGCGGGAGTTCTGGTCTGGATTCACCTGGTCCTGCACCGCGGAGCCCGGCCACCAGGCACCGCGATAGCTACCCTGCGCGGCCCCAGCGGGGTCCTTCGGGCGTTCGGCCGGGCAGCCCTGCTGGGGGTCCTTGCCGGGAGGCCGCGGACCTACGGGGCCGCGGAGGCTGGGTGTGTGAGGCCCGCGGGGAGACGGCGCAGTGGGAGCTGCCGGGCCGAGGCGAGGCGAGGCGAGGCGGCCTGCAGCCCGGGGGCCGGCCCTGCCGGTGGCCCTCTTCTCTCCCCAGCGCTTGTCCCGGGCCGCACGAGAGGACAGAGCCGTCTTGGGTGGGAGCAGCCCCTCCGAGCCGGGGCTCGGGCGCCCTCAGGCGGGAGGGAGGCCGGCGTTCCCGGGCGGCCCTGCGCGGGGGGAGGTGGCCGTCTGGCGGTGGGACGGACCTTGTCTGACTGTCCTCTCTTTTCTGTCTAGGCTAGTGCCTGGCACGTGTTTGGTGGCCAGTACTTGTCGGAGGTACGTGGAGGGCGAAGGACTTGTGCGCTCGATCGCGAGGGCCGAGGCCGCCGTTGAAAGTCTCGAGCTGCGAGCGACACGGAGACACGAGGGAGCACAGCTCATGTGGGGGTGATGACCCAGGGTTCTTGGCTGGGGTCCAGGTGTCCGTAGGCCGTGAGGGGAGCTACTCGTAAGGGCCTTGAACGTGTCGCTAAGAAATTTGGGGTGCGGTGGGTTACCCAGGAGTCTGTTGAAGCAGTGCAGGGTGAGATGAGAACTGCGGGTATTCTTGGTGTGTAGTCTGAGCATGGAGGGGAGACAGTGTGGCAGGTTGAAGGAGGGTGGTAAATTTTTTTCTTGGGAAGAGTCACTGACTTTGCAAAGAGTGAAAATAAGCCATAACTGTCATCAATGTAAGTATATATGTATTTTTAACTGACTCTGGTGCCAGATATACAGGTGTTGCACTCCTGGAAGGTTGGAAGGCAGGTTGGTGTTTCTGGCAGCTTGTTTCCACCAGGTGTCTTTGGGAAAGTCCAGTCCTGCCTGGCTGGTGAAGGCACAGGTCCATTTCTGCCTTTATAGGATGAGAGTAAACTTAACCATGTGATACTGCCCAGACATCAGGTTTTAGTTTTATTTTCCAAGTACACCAGGTCCAATTTTGTTTTCTACCTTTTCTTTAAGACTTTATTTATTTGAGAGAGAGAGAGAGAAACAGCATGAGAGGGGAGAGGGTCAGAGGGAGAAGCAGGCTCCTTGCTGAGCTGGGAGCCCGATGTGGGACTCGATCCCGAAGGCAGTCTCTTAACCAACTGAGCCACCCAGGTGCCCTCTACCTTTTTTTTTTAAGGTTTTATTTTTAAGTAATCTCTATACCCAACAGGGGGCTCCAACTTAACAGCGGTGAGATGAAGAGTGGCATGCTCCACTGGCTGAGCCAGCCAGGCACCCCGTTTTCTACCTTTATCTTCATTAATATACCTTTGAACTAAAGGGACTTTGCCAATTTTTAGACCATGGTCATTAGTTCACCTGTCTTACACACTGGAGAAGGCTTTAGTTCCATATTTTATAGTTGCTTTGACCATCCTCAGCAACAAGCCTACATAATGAAAGTAAGGCAGATGTGATTTTAGGAGGAGACCCAATAAATAACACCCTTTTTCTGAACTTGGGCTCAGAACCAACAGAAATAGAGGAATAGCAGGCAGGTGGAGACCAAATATCAGCTTATCTAATACTGATGGAGTTGATGGAGAACATAATTTAGAGTGAGAACGAAATTTGCCTGCCTTCTAATTCTGTGCTGCCAGAGTTCAATGCCAGGTCTCTTAAAAGCTTTAAAGCAATAGCAACAACAAAAAGAATCTAAATCGTTAACGGCATACAAAATGATCGCAGTATTGCCCCACGTTCACTGAATTTAAAAAGCGGACCACCCCTCGCTCGTAGCAGATTTTGTCCCTAGAAACCTGTCAAAAGACTCTGATACCCAGTGGTATGTGAGGGAAGGTGAATAGGCTGAAAAGGTCTTGATTCAATGTCACTGGGACTCAAGTAGTTCTATACCAGTTATTCAGAGTCTCCTAACTTGTGAGGCTAAACTCAGTTGGGAGAATCACCCATTATGAGGTTAATTATGACCTGTGTTCATTATATCCTGAGGGGCATCTACCTGTGTCTAGTCTTTTTAGCCAGTGGTATTTAAGATGATGCCACCTTCTTGCATTGTTAATTTACAGTAGTGGCAGCCCCAAACCAGGTCTTTGAGATGCCTTTCTTTTTCATCCAGCATATTCAAATTTCTTAATACCGTTTCTCTTTTGGGTCCTTTGTTTGTGGCATCCCCAGGCTGCATTGAGAGTGGGCTCTTAGGACCTAGCTTACCCAGCCCCACTGTGAGCAGTCCTCAGTTGGCCACTGCCTTCTGCTGTTGAGTTGGTCAGGCCCAGGACACTTGGCTCCTGTGTGTGGAGGGCAGGAGGGTGGTCCTTTACCCCATGAGTTTCAGTTGAGACTCACTCTGGCAGGTTGTTGTTGTTTTTTTTTTAACCTGAAGCTGATGTTATTGCTTCTAAAGTTTGTTGCTTCAGGGACCCAATGAGAATTGAGACCGCTGCCATTCCTCAAGATACTATCTTTGGCTTCTGGATGGGTCACATGGGGAGTAGCATTTCTTTTTTTTTTTCTTTTTTAAATAATTTTTATTGTTATGTTAATCACCATACATTACATCATTAGTTTTTGATGTAGTGTTCCATGATTCCTTGTTTGTGCATAACACCCAGTGCTCCACGCAGAATGTGCCCTCTTTAATACCCATCACCAGGCTAACCCATCCCCCCACCCCCCTCCCCAGGGAGTAGCATTTCTTTCAGACACTTCTCTTTTGGCAGTTTTTTCCCCCTGTGTTCCCCTACTCCTTTCCAGAAGGCTCATTGAATTTCTGGCATTCTTACTGTTGGAGAGAAGGAAGACCTTGGAGCCAGCTCTTTGCTAGGCTACAGAAAGTAGGGAAGGAACCAGGGTCATGCCCTGGAGATTATCTCTTAATTGTTTTCCAAGATGTAAACTTTCTTTTAAGAAAATCTCTCTTTAAAAAGAAAAATCTCTTGTCCTTTGTTTTCATTCTTGTACTGCTTCTAATCTGATGGAGTAGGTTTCTAAAGCTATGCATTTCTTCCTGGACTTCCTGAACATACGTGATTCCTTAAGACTGTGTTCCAGGCACAGGCTTTTCTCATCTTGTCAACCTCTGTGGCTGTGGTTATTGCATTGAGTGGTTTTTCTACTTCAGTCTGAGAAGATGACATATTCTATTTGTAATAAGGGCATTGTTTTTGTTGTTATAAATAAAACCTACCATCTTTTTAAGATTGAAGCTGCATTGTAAATCTCAGAACTATAAAACCCTAGCCAGAGTTATTGACAAACAGACTTGCAAGTGGGGAGTGACCCTTAAAACATGGAGGAAAAAAAAAACAACACATGAATTCTTCTGGTTTTAGCCTTTGGCTTTGAGTCTAGCTCAGAGCATAAGGGATGGAATTTGGGACAGCCTTTTCATGGTTTCTGCTGGACTGGGACTAACAAAGTTTGGAGCTTACACACTTGTGTTCCTTAGCATGTGTGGAATTTAATTGCATTTTAAAGCCCCTGGCCTGTCGAACTAGCTAAAAAACATAGTAAAGGACCAAGTACTTTGTTTACCCCAATATCTAAAAGGCGTGTATAGGGAAAGGCTTCCCTGTAGTCCAGTCTGTGCCTCAGCAGGGCCTGCTCACCAAGGTCTTCTCTGCTGCTTAGGCTTTGCAGATGCCCCCACAAGGGAAGGCAGTGGGTCTGTGCTAAGGCCAAGGTCAGTGCCCACACCTTAACTCTGACGTGCTTAAGCCATAGTGCTTGTGTAAGGACAGTGCCTTTGCTGAGCCATGTGACTGGCATTTCACTAAGGTACTCATTCATCCCTGCCTGTATATAAAATCAGAGTTATAAAAACTCTTGCCAGTGAACAGAGTGGCCAGCATTTCCACATGGCCAACTTGGGAAAAGTGTTTGAAATGCCTCTAGTGCTGGTCCCATCATAGCCTCAACTTGTATGTGATATTTCACTCCCAAATTCCTCACCAGGTCTCTCTTTTATGTTCTCTGCCAAAACAAGAGATCCTAACATTCCTTTGAAAAGGAATGTTTTCATTCATTCATCCCATCCCTCCACCCCTGCCAGAATTTTACAATTCCTGTAAAACTTCCAACACAGAGCAGCAGAACTTGTGGGCAGCTGGCTTCCAAAATAAGAAACGGAAAAAAGGGCAAAGCTACACTTAACCTGGCTCTCTGTCTCTGAAGCTTCAGCCGGGGGACGAGAGTTACCCTAAGAGTTCAGGAGTGTATAGAGGAAATCCTCGTGGACCCAAGGAATCAGTCCAGGAAGCATTCCCTTTCTAATAGAGTTGAAAATAACTCTTTGGTTTCAGCCTGTGTGTTTGGGAATTGGTTAAGAGGTTGGCTTAAAGATGAAAATGAATTCATTTGGGATGTGGTGAGTTTGGAGTGATGGTGGGACATTCAAGCAGAACTAGCTTGGTGGCGGTTGGATAGTTAGGTTTGGGAGTTATCAGAGTGGTGATAGTCACGTCAGTGAAGAACTGACCATGGGAAAGAATGCAGACAGAAGACAAGGTCAAAGACCAATCCTTCCCTTGTCAATAATTTAAAAAACTTGTTTATAAAGGGGCGCCTGGCTGGCTCAGTCGAAAAATCAGCAACTCTTTGATCTCAGGGTCGTGAGTTCAAGCCCCATGTTGAGTGTAGAGATTACTTAAATAAATACACAAACTTAAGAAAAACTACTTGTATATAAGGGAAAACAATAATTGATTTAATCTAGCAGCAAAAACGATTTATGTATAAGAAAGAGTAGAGAGGGAAGAAGGAAAAACCACAGATTGTGTGAAAGTTGTAGCTTTTGTTTCCTGTGGGTAGACTGCTCATCAGCTAGCAGCCAACAAAGAGCCAGTATTCTTCCCTGGGGCAACTGAATGGATTATAAAATATCAACTTCACTTGCTTCTGGGTTTTCCAGAAGACCTCTAGAGTTCCAGTGAGGTCTATGTGTCAGGCTGTTTCTGGATGAATAATGTCTTATCAGAATCCTTTGTAAGCCCCATCATCAGTTAGGCCAGGTCTGCTATTTCCCTTCTCAGAATCTCTGACCTTCTCCCTTTTAATCAGACTCAGCTCTGGTCCACGTTAGCCCTGAGGGTTTCAGTTTCCTTCCGAGGTGGCAACATGAGTTGAATGTTGTTTTGGGGGCATTGGCTGTATAACAGTATTTAAACCCCTGAATATTGGCAGACAATGCCAAAAAGAGCAAGGGAATCCTAGATACTAATACAAATATTTGGAACCCATTTTATATCCTGTTTACTCACTGGCCTGTTTAATCAGGAGATTAAGTCCCAAGGGTTAGTTTAGTCAAGTTTAGCTAATGAATATTCACAAACCAAGTGGATCATAACTGAGAGCATTTACTTTTAAGAGTAAAAATCCTGATAGAAGTTTCTAACTTTGAATCACCAT